ACCGCCTCTGTGGCAGGGGATCGGGACGTATGGTAAACATCCCCTGCTGCACGCTTGCCCGCGCCACGTGCGCACCACCAAAAAGACAATCTGAAACAGAAGCACCCTGCACACCACTACAACCGCCGGCCCCGACCAGGGCCCACCCTTGGCCCTCGACCGCTGCGCGCGCCCGCCTGGCCTTGGCCAGCAAGGTCGCTACGCCAACATGGGGCCAGGCGGTGTAATCACAGGTGCGGGTTTTCAGACGAAGCCAGGACGAGGGTAAAACCGGGTGAGGAGAAATCGAAGATCTCTGAGATCCGGCGGCTCTGGAGGATGTGTCGGGCGCCGCGGCCTTCTCGGAGCGCAAGACGCTCGGAGAGCGCTCCGGCACGCTCTGGAACGGCTTTATCCTCGTCCTAGCCCTGTCCGAGGTTTCTGCCCCAGGAGGGGAGGAGGGGCAGGGAAAGACCAGGATGGAAGGGGGGAGGGCAAAGGGGGGTAGGATAAGTCGGCATCGAATTGGAATGTGCGTCGGATCGGGCTGCACCGGGCACCGAGTCTAAATAGAGGCGGGTCGGCTGCACCAGAAAGCACACCAGCGCCATGCAAGAATAGGGCCACATCGGTTCGCCAGAAAATCAAAATCGAACCGGATCGAGCCCCACGAAATCAAAATCAAACCAGATCGACCGAATCAGGATGAGGGGGAGGGGAGGTCATCCTTCTCCCTCGCCCATCCTTCCTGCTGTTCCCCCCTTCTACGCCTCCTTTTCCCCCACATTTCCCTCCGTTCCTCTTTCTCATCCTCCTCATCCTCCTCTTCCTTCAAATTCAACTCCAACTCCCTCTCCTCCTCCTCTTTCTCCTCCTCCACCTCCTCCTCCTCCTCCCCCTCCTCTTCTATCCTCAGTAGAGGCCCAGGGGAATTTATAACTGCACACGGAAGAGTCGCAGGACTTCCCCTAAGTTGGCCATACCGCGTAACAACCCCAGCCACTCCTGCCACCTGGCCTCGACAGCTCACCCGGCCACAGCGTGCATTCTCCCCAACCTGGTCACAACTTCCTTGACCTTGCCGATCGCCTCCCCCCAACGGACGAAGAAGGGCGTCGAAGGACGTCGAAGGACGACAACTGACGACGAAGGACAAAGAATAGAGACGAAGGACGACGAAGGACGGCGACGATGATTCGGGTGGAGCGACGGGTGAAGGGGGGGAGAGTGGGACGTGGTCAGCAATTTGCAGAGCGGGGACTAGACACAATTCAAACGCAGCCTATCTGACCAAACCAAAACTTCGTCAACTGCAGTGTCCACGGCGGCCGCTGCCACAGCGGCGTGCGAAAGTAATGGGGGAGGGTGGGGAGGAGGGGGAGGAGGAGGAGGAGGAGGAGGAGGAGGAGGAGGAGGAGGAGGAGGAGGAGGCCGCCTGCCGCCGCCGCCGAGGCCAGAGGACGTTTTTTTCTGGGCCGCCGAGGCGACCGAACAAGCTTCACTGAAAGCAGCACCGGCGGAGAAGATTGGACGGCGGGCAGGCATACTCGAGGCCGACAGCTGTCTGATCTCTTCGACACTGAAAGCAACACCGGCGGAGAAGATTGGACGGCGGGCAGGCATACTCGAAGCCGACAGCTTTCTGATCTCTTCGGCACGTGTTCGAACAACGCAAACCTGCCAAAACATCCTTTGGTCATCTCTACACAGGCTGAACATTTTACCTTGAACCGAATATCAAAGCACGTGCACACACATTTACCGCGAAAGGACAATTTTGGAGAGGACGGCGGTCTGAGTTACACCGTGCGCCTGACTGAAACACTCTGCGAGCACGGCACAAAGTGAAGGCGGGTATTCTTGGGCAGCTTTTGACTTGAAACCGCCGCCCTGCGCTAGACCATGGCGCAACTACGACACACGCGAGCGATGGGACCGAGCGAAACGTGATCGCCGAGGACACGAGTAGGCTTCTTCCACTGGGTGCCCCACTGGCACATGTCCGTGATAACTGACACACTCGAGCTCCACTTAAGAGCTTTTTGCAAACGAGGGAGAAGCCACAAGCGAGAGCGGGCGGGGTTCTCAAGGGCCACCGGGCGGCCTAAAAAATGCATCAACTCGAGGACACTGCAACAGAAGCCGGCGAGAAGATTGCCAATTCGAACAGCCTCCTGACCACTTGGGCGTGTCACTTCCGGAAGCCCCATCAGATGTCGATCCGACCTCAACCTCGAAGGCAAGGCCGTCCCGGCCGGCCCTGGCACGCGCAGCGGCCCCGCGTCTCGGGCGCGCGCCCAGGTTTGGCAAGGGCTTCCGAGGAAGGCCCCCCGCGCCTGTCCGGCACGGATCCAGCCGCGGACGAGCTTGCGGGCAGCTGGCGCGGAGACATCCCACGCCGCGCCTCGCTGGATGCCCCATTCTAGCATAAGGAAGCCTTTTGCCCGCATCGCCCGCGAGAGCCCGCCACTCCCGCTGAACAGCTCTAGATAGACCTGCGGCTGGACGAGACGGGCACCCCTGCTGGCCGGGGCGCGAGCGAAGGCCTCGCGAGGCAGCAACGCAGCCGCGAGGCCGCCTCGACCGCGCGCCTCCGAACGTCGGGCGACAGCCGCCGCAGCTGTTCCCCCGCGCGCCCCTCCTTCTGGTTGCGCCTGACGCTCGAGTCGCAGTGCCACCGCCCCGCAGCTCGATCTCCTGCAGCGTTCTCAGCTGCCGAGCTTGGTCGCGGCTCGGCCCGCTGCGGCGCTGCATGTACAGCTCGGGCCCCAAGGCCCGCAGGCCCGCCCGATGGGCGGCCTCGCGGAACTGAACCACCAGATCGGCGCGCCCGAACCCGAACAGCGGCTCCCGCGGCGAGGTCTCGCGCTCGAGGACAGCGAGCGCGGGCACCACGAAGTGGAACATCGGCAGGTCGAACGCGACGGTCTCGTCGAACTCCCTTGTCTTACTGCTGACCGCCTCCTCGCTGGGGCGCAGGACAATCGCCCAGTGCAGCACGCGGTTTCCCTGCACCGGCGGCGCCGGCATCTCCCCGCGCACTCGACGCAGCTCGCTCGGGCGAAGGTAGCAGTGAAAGGTGATCACCGCCCAGACCGCCATCGCCCAGCAGCCCGTCAGCAGCACCTCCAGCACGATCAGCGCAACCGCCTCCCACGGCAGAGGCAGCCGAGCCCGCCCTGGGGCCGGCCGCATCCACCCCTTCAGCGCTCGTGCCGACTGCGGCAGAAACCTGCCGCCCGCCCTGGCGCACTGCGGCCTGAAGTACTTCGCGGCAGCAAGACCCTCTGCCCCTCGCTGCGCCAGCTCCCCGAACGAAAACTCCTGATCCATCCACCTCGACAGCACGAGGTCGAGCTCGTCGTCGCTCGGCTCGGGCTGGATCGACCCGGGAGGCCCCAGCTGCTGCCGCAGACGCAGAGTGTCCTGCCAGAGGCTCTCGCGCTGCGCCGACGTCTTCGGCGTCACCGAGGCGCGCTGCAGACGGGACGCCCCCGCGTGGAGCTGGCAATGGGGCTCGGCTGACAGCGCCCCTGGCCCGCCGAGCCACCCGCGCCAGCTTGCGGCCCCTGGCCCCTGGAGTCGCCTGCTCCACTAGCTCCGCCCTCGCCCGCGCCGCCTCCGCGCTCAGGCGCCGCCCTCGGCGCCGCCCGGCGCAGGCCGCGAGCTCGGCGAGCTCGCGGCCTGCGCCCAGGCCGTCGGCCAGCCAGCTGACGCACCCAGCGCACCTGCGGCGCCAGCGCCCCAGCCCCGCTGCAGCGTCCGCCTCGGAGGAGTTGATCCCGACGCCGATGGGGGCGCGGCGGCGCGACGGCGCATCCGCGACGTTCCGCTCGGACGGAATGCATCGCACTGACGCCTGCACCGCCCCCGCCAGGCACTGGGCCGCCAATTGGCGAGCGACTCGCAGGAACCCCCCCGCCGAGGAGCGGCCCCTCTCAATCGCACACACGGGCCCCATATTATCACAGAGGAACAGGATGCGCTTGCCGAACGACTTCGAGTCACGAAGAGCACGCCTAAGAGAGCGGACGAGAGCACGACCCTCGAGCACGATGATATTTTGAGTTCTCGCCCAACCCCCAGTCGACGCCACCTGCCGCTCTCCACCGCACAGCCCCTCGCCCACCTCCATGTCCTTCGGCGGGTTACCCTCAGGATCCTCCTCCTCCTCCGCCTCCAGCGAGACGACGGGCTTCTCGTTCGGCGACACGACGGGCTCGACGATCGACTCGAATTCGCATCCGTGACGTTCTGAACGTGGCTCTGCTCGAAAAGGCAGCCACGGGGTCGAGCTCCGCCCTCGCGTCGAAAACGCCACCTCTCTCCGCGCCTGCCCGCCGCCTGCATATCCCCCACCTTGGCCTCCTCCTGGCAGACGCCCCCCCCTCCTCGATCGCGTCGCCCGAGTAGAGCCCAGCCGACCAAGGAGCCCTCAGATCAGCCCGAGCAAGAAGCATCAGACACGCGGCCCAGTGGAGCTCCCGGCGGACGACGGGCGGCAGCGTGACAACCTCATTGAAATACTTACGGGAGAAAGCGCGCACCGAACTGAATACCGCAAGCAGAGGACGTCTAGCCATAGCAATGAAAGCGGAAGTGACCAGCGATTTTGCCCACTTGACGCCCAGAGGCCCACCCACGAGACATAAGGCCCTGAATCCCAAGACGCAGCCTCCACGCACGACGGCACTTCGGCCTTTAAACCCCACGTTCTCCGTCAAAGACCCATCCAAGATGCTCCGACACAGCAGTGCACCAGGTGTGTTAGCATCCACTCCGAACGAAATGAAGTTGTCAACATACGCAGTGAAAGCACACTCACGTACCGAAGGAACAGGCTTGCCATCCACAATCTCGGGGACATCACTGAAACCCCCTCGTTCGGTCAAAATAGTTCTGTTCACTCTTTGACCGAAATCCAAAACATGCGCCCCACCCATGGGCAGGACGGCCATGCGCGGGCGCAACCAAGTGCGACCCGCCACTGCGCACCCCCCCCCCACACACAGCCCCTCCACGCCCAGCTGGGACGCGCGGAGCCGAGGCAGAGCGACCAGGTGCCTGAGCTCTGACGGCAGGCGCACGTTGTAGAAGGCGTCCGCGACGTTCACGCCTGCCGCCCAGAGCACCTCTCCTGGCGCCAGCTCGATGGAACTGAAGCTGCCGCCCGACGCCAGACAGGTCTTCTCGGGCTCGTCGAACCTGAAGTTACTGCCTCTGCAGTCGATGACCAAGCGCTGGCGACCATCTTTCTTCCAAGCGGCACAGAGACCGACCCCCTCAAAATCACCCTCGCCCACCTGGAACTCCAGCGCGCCCCCGCCCCCCACCCCCTCGACGAAGGCCAGGTGCGCCGCGAGCTGCCGCAGCGCTGGGTCCAGGTAGGGCCTCGCGAAGCCGGCCCCCCCCCTTTTTCAAAATCTCGGCGGTCTGAATTCGCAAGACTTCTGAAGTAGTTAACCTCCGCGCGATATCAGGGCCATCGCGACCCAGCAGCTGGCCCACGGGGCACCGGCGCACCGCCCACCGCCGGCAGGGACGCGAGATCGCGCGCGAAGGGGGCCACCGTGACGGGCTCGCCGTCAGAGTAGCCCGCGCCGACCTGGAGCCCCCGAAGGGCCACCTCGATCGACGGGTCTGGAGGGGGGGGGGGGCCATCGCCGCGCAGCTCTCGGCGAGGAACTCCAAACACAGCTGCTGCATCAGGTTGGGCCCCGCCCCCGCGCAGCGCGGCGGGGCGTCGCTGCCCTGAACGCCATCACGAGCTCTGAGACGAGCTCGCCCTGCCACGTCCCGCGGGCGCGACAGCGACGCGCTGCACGGCCGCCGCCACCCTCGCCAGCTGCAGGCAGCTGCGTAGCACCAGTCGGGGACTGGCAGGGGCAGGAGCGCGCGCTGCAGGTGGTCGTCGCCCCCGCCCGCGACCTCTGCTGCCTCACCCCTGGGCCGAGGCAATCCCGGGGGCGGATCCATCATCGCGACTTTCCTGCCATTGGCAGCCTTCTGCTCCTCCCGAAGCTTCCTCGCGTTCTTCTTGATGCCGTGGATCCTCTCCAGTTCTTTCGAGACCGTGTCCAGCAGCTCCGGGCACAGCGTCGAGGGAGAGCGTGAGCCTACCAGGCCTCCTCCAAGGGCATCCGCAGGTTGCGCCGCTGCTGCCCCGCACTCCTGTCGCACCAGTAGCGCTCGATCAACTGGAGCTTCCTGTAGCCGATCTCCGCGCTCGAAAAATTGAAGACTTCCAGGTGGTCGCTAAAGCCCATCAACTCGAGCATCTTCGAGATGGTCTCGTGGATATCGATTCCAAAGTCGGACGAATTCAGCTTGCGTTTTGACTTCCACATCTCATGATGGAGGACAGGGCCGCCTTCCTTCACCTGGTACTTCGCGCACCACTGCGCCGCCCTGGGCGGCGCGACCCCGAAGCCAGGGGCGGCCTCCTCGCGGCAGAGCCCCACCACCTCACGCCACTCTCGGCCGTTCTCGCCCGGCTGTCCAGCCCCAGGCGGAATCTCCAGCGTGCAGGCGCCACTGCCGCGGCACTCCTGCGTTAACCACGGCAGCTCGGCGTCCTGCAGGAGCACCACGCTCGCTCCCAAGCCGCCCGCCAGCGACAGCAAGCCCCGCCGACCCACGCGACCAACTAAGGTCGCGCCTCCAGGGACCCCGACCGCCACCTTCGCGCCGAAATTGGCCGCCCCGTCGACATCCTCCGCGGCGATCCAGTGCCATCCCGCCGCCTGCTCGCCAGTCGGCAAGGGTGCGAGAGGCACCGAGTCGGGCACAGCGGGGGCCCGCATCGGCGCGGCAGGCGGCGCGGGCAGTGGCGGCGCCTCGGCCACCGGCACTAGAGCGGCGCCAGGGCCTCCGGCGGCAGCCACAGCGCCAGGCGGCGCCGCCAGCGCCAAGGGCCCAGCGGCCGCGGCGGGCGGCGCGGCGAGCCCGGCGGCCGGCAGCGGGGGCACCCCCAGAGCAGGATCCGCCAGCTCCACCGTCCCCGCCGGCAGCCCCGCGCAGTTCACCGCCGACACCGTCAGCAAGAAAGGCGAGACGGGCAGAGCGCCGTAGCCCTGGCCCGCCCCTCGGCGCAGCGCCGCCCAGACCTCATGGGCAGTCGGCAGGCGCCTGAACCTGTAGACCAGGTTGGCGGCGACTCCCCCGACGCGGCCGCCCTGGCCGTGGACGAAGTGCACCTCCATCCGCGTCGGGCACCACCGACTCGCCGTAGTCGTCGAAGTCGGGCGTCATCACGTACCCTGAGGTGCAGAGGTCCAGCCGCTCATGGTACAACACCGGCCCTCCAACACGATAACGAGCGAGATGGAAATCTCCTGGCGTCGCCATCGGGGCGGTATTCAACGGCAGCTAGCCGTCGGCCGTCGGCGGAATGCCTGGACCTGCTCCAGCACCAGCTGCGAGAGGTCGCACTCCTCCAGGGCCACCGACGCCTCCACCTGCGGCTGAGCAGCCGCCGCCACGGGCACGCGGGTGCACGTCGCCCAGGCGCACCCCGCGGCTCCCAGCCCGCAGCCCGCGAGCAGGGACAGCGCCGCCACCCCGGCCAGCTGCCCGCTCGGGCAGCCGGGGCTCGAGGCGGCAGCCACCGTGCCCTCGCCTCCAGGGCGGGAGCACTGCAGGGCGGGGCAGCGCAGGGAGGGACCGCACCAGCAGTCCGGGCAGTCGGGCACCGCCGCGCGTACCTCGGGCACCGCCGCGCGTACCACGACGGCGGTGGTCAGCGCTTGCCCCGCGTCGCGCAGCAGGCGGAGCAGCCTGGCCTCCATCCCCCGCAAGGCCTCAGCGCGATGAGGAGACCTGAAAACGGCAGCGGATCAGGGCTCCTCTGAAACACGCGGCCTCTCGTGCTGTGGCATCTGGCAATCTTCAACAAAGTAGAGCGCAGGAGGAAGAGGACGAGGAGGAGGAGGAGGAGGAGGAAGAGGAGGAGGATGAGGAGGAGGGGGAGGATTAGGATAATGATGATGGGGAGGAGGAGGAGGAGGAGGAGGAGGAGGAGGAGTCAAGTTAGCTGGGTCGAGCGAGTCTGCGCCGCGGCCGCGCTGGACTGCCACTTCCGAGCCACATGCGCACGGAGATTGGGCAATGGCGACAAGTCCCCCACTCGCGCGGGCCCCCCGATCTTGGCGAGCGAAAAATCAGCCGACCCGTCGGCGTATGTGTGACGTTTTACTGGTTGAGTCCTCCTCCTCCTCCTCCTCCTCCTCCTCCTCCTCCTCCTCCTCGTCCCGCTCCCTCCCTTTCCGTGGGCCCTCCTCCTCCTCCTCATCCTCATCCTCCTCCTCGTCCCGCACCCCCCCTTTCCGCGGGCCGTCCTCCTGAAACGATCCAACCAAACGGAAATCAAACCACGTCGTAGTTGATTATTGAATCGCTTCGCTCATTCCGCCGGCCCATAGTGTAGCGTCGCTGGCACTTGCTTGCGTGCTCGGGGGGGCATTTGGGTGGCCTCCTGGGGCCGCTTGGGGGCCTCTTGGGGGCCTCCTGAGGGCCTGTTGGGGGCCTCTTGGGGCCTCTTAGGGGCCTCTTGGGGCCTCCTGGGGACTTCTGAGGGCCGAGGGCTCGAAATATTGTTTCGTGTTCCCCCCCTGGGGTCCCTCTTGGGGCGTTCTTGGGGCCCTCTTGGGCCGTCTTGGAGGCCTCTTGGGCCGTCTTGGAGCCCTCTTGGGCCGTCTTGGGGCCCTCTTGGGGGCCTCTTGGGCCCTCTTGGGGCGGTCTTGGGGGCCTCTTGGGCCGTCTTGGGGTGTCGTGAAGCCGAAAAGGTGGAAACGCCAAAATCTCTCCAAAACCTAAGGAAAAGCAGTGAATTTTGCCTCTTGGGGCCCTCTCGGGAGTGCTCTTGGAGGCCTCTTGGGGCGTCTGGGGGCCATCGTGGGCGTCTTGGAGCGATCTTGTGGCATCTCGGACCCCTCATGTAGCATCTTGGGGGCCTCTTGGAAGCCTCTTGGCCCTTCTTGGGGCTCTCGGGGACGTCTCGGAGCCGCGTTGGTGCGCTGCTGGAGCGCCCTGGTGACTCCTCCCGGGACTCTCTCGGGACCTTGCCGGGGTACTTTCCGCCCGGGGGCCCCCAGGGGCCGCCCCGCGCGCGCGAAGTAGAAAGATTGTAAAGCAGTCACCGGAGATCTTAGCACGCCTCTGGCCCGTTGGGCCGGCGAATATGGGGAACCCTTCCTTTGATCCCTTTCCTGCCAGGGAGGGGGGGGGTCCTGAAGGGGTGGTCCCAGGGGGGTCCCAGGGGCAGTCCCAGGGGGGGGAAGAGGGAGGAGGCAGGGGGGCGGGTCCCAGGAGGGGTCCTAAGAGGGGCCCCAGGGTGCGTGACCCCCCCCTCCTGGGCGCCGGCCCCCCCTGCCCTGCGGAGAAGCTGGGCAAGAGGGCCGTCATCCTGCCGGCAGGGGAGCTGGCTCGGGACCCCTCCCCCCGCCTCGGCCCCAGCCACGGCCCCGGCCCCGGCCCCGGCCCCGACAAAAGCCCAAGAGGCTCCCAAGAGAGCCCCAAGGTGGGCTCCAGAGCGTCAGCGTCGTCGTCGTCGCTGCCACCGCCGCTGCCGCCGCCGCCGTCGTCGTCGTCGCCGTCCCCTGCAGGGTCGGCAGCCCTGGCCGCGAGGCCTTCCCAGCATGAGCAGGCGCCTGCACGGCGCCGCAGCGAGAGCGACAGCTCCGCCCGCTCGCGCGTGGACGAAGCTGCGCGAAGAAGAACGTGCGCGCGCCCGCGCGGGAGCCCGATCTCTCGGCGAGGCGAGCGCGCCGTCGAGGCAGGAGCGCCCCCCTCCGGCGACGCCTGCGCGGCGCCGGGGCGAGGGCGGCACTTCTCTTCGGCCGCTCGCGCGCCGATCGTCGACGAGGTCGCGCGCGAAGAAGGCGCACCGCGCCCCGGGGGGAGCTCCGCTCCCTGGAACCGTGAGCGTAGCGCCGAGGCGAGAGCGGCATCCCGGCCTTTCGCGCTGGGTGTGCGCCCCGTCCCACGCCTGCCGCGCGTGTGGCACCAGGCACGACGGAATGCCCAGGCCCGCGACGAAAAACACTGACGCAGCGCTGCTTGCTTGACAGGTGGGATGGGGCCCCCCGATTGGGTTGCTATCGGTCGGCTAGGTGGCAGAGTGTGAGCATATTCAAAAAATGAGAAAGGATTGGAAGAGGAGCGGGAGGAGCAGGAGGAGTAAGAGGATGAGGAGGAACACGAAGAGTAGAAAGATGAGACCGAATAGGAGTAGAAGGATAAGACGGAGGAGTAGGTCAAGATAAATGAAGAGGAGGATGAGGAGGAGGAGGAGGATGAGAAGCTCCTTGAGCTGGATCCTCACCTCGCGCTCCAGGTGCTCGCACATCTTTTGCTCGATCACCTTCCGCGCGCGCCGCGACGGAGGGGGCTCGGGCCCGACTGCGGGGGGGATAGGCTCGGCCCTGGGGGTGATGCCCAGTCCCTGCCTGGACTTACACAAATTGTGGGGTGGTCGCCTCTCGCGGGTGTTCCGGCAAGGGCAGACGCGCACAACGATGCCGCTGGCAGACGACGACGACGACGACGAGGACGACGACGACGACGACGACGACGACGACGACGACGACGACGACGACGACGACGACGACGACGACGACGACGACGGGTCGGGCAGGCGGGTCGGGCGGACGGATGGTGGGGACGGGCGGGCGGGGCCGGCGGGCGGGGCCAGCGGGGTGCCGTCGCCGTCGTTGGGCGACGGGAGAGGGCGGAGTCGGGAACTGGAACCCCCCTCCCCTACCCACGCGCACGTGAAAAGAATCCTTTCCGACATAGAGTCAATACGTCCAAGAAAGAATCTTGGGGTGCACGTTTCATCCACCTTGGGTTGCGCCGGGTGCCCATGGATCCACGGGCCCATCGGGAAATGAGAAACACTTCAGGGGGATGTGCTGGCAGTCTGGTTTCTTATCGAGTGTTCATACGTAGACTAGCGCATGGAAGAGGCTCAATCACAATCTCGCTAAGAAGCAGACGCGCCCACTACGTCAGACGGGGAGCCATCGCAAACGAAAATGGCAAATACAGATATTGCTGATGGTGCACCCTGCATGGCGGAGCCAGATGCACACTTTCGCTGTCGGCCAGCGCGCGCCAAAAGACCAACGATGAGACGACATGCTGACTTCGCTAAACGACGATGACGAATGATTGCCCCTCGAACCCTGAATGCCCGAGAAAAACAGCTGCACTATGCTTGCCAGCGTGGACCCCAAACAGTGAGTTTTTGCACTGTCGATGCACCACCTTTGTGGTGCAATCTATTCGGTGCAATTTATTGGGCGAAGATGGTGCAAGCTGGAGAAACCTGCCAAATCCAAAGCTCGACCAAACATCCCACCCACCCACCCGCAATTGTTGGCAGGTACTAAGCGGCGTAATGACACGAGGACCCTGTCATGCAGATTCATGACTCGGGCGGGCGACTGATGACGGTGACGACGACACTAGACGACGACGACGACGACGACGACGACGACGACGACGACGACGACGACAATGAGAACGATGATGGTGGAGATTATGGCGAGGGCGACGACAATAATGATGACGACGATGATAACGACGGTGGTGACGACGACGACGACGACGACGACGACGACGACGACGATGTTGATGATGATAAAGGTGGTAGTGGTGATGGTAACGATGACAATCATGACACTGGCGGTGCTTATGATGGTGCTGATTAGGATGCTGCATGCAGAAACTATGCAAGAAATATGCTTAACAACTATTGGTTCCCATTGAATTCTGAAAATCTCGGCATTGAAATGCTGGAAACTATGGGCTTGCGACGACCTCGGTGTGCGCCCGCGGGGTCCCGTGCGTGTTGTCCGCCCGGTATGATTCGACAGGGTAGGCGGATACGGCGCGATGAAAATTGAATGTTTTCGACGCGCGCGCGCTCCCGTGTCACGCATGGACTCATTCGACGGAAGACCAAAAGAAATGCGGCTTCCTCAGGATTCCAGCGAGGGCGCGCACAAAGTGGATAGCAATGTTTTGCAACCGACAGAAGCCTTGTCTGATCACCATGTTCAAAACCCTGGCATGTGCGCACGCGTGTGGCCCACTTTGCGTTATACGAAGATGCAGATTCATCGAGCATACGGTATAGGGATGAAAGAACGGCACTACCCTGGGTTACAAGTGCGTGGTCTGTAAACCTCCTGGG